CGCTACCACGACTTGCATTCTTAATTCTGTGGTTTAGCATAGAGACTCGCAAGGACATCTGATTCCTCTTTTGAGCCGACAAAGTTGGCTACCCTACGTATTCTTACAGAACAGCGCAGGTGCCCATGTAAGTAAATCAACAAGGAGCAGCACTCAAAACAGATGATCTGAACAGGTTCTTCTTAAATTCTGGTCGTATGTCGGTAGAGTATCTCGAGGACATCTTCGTCATGAGAATCATGCGGATAAACGCCATTTAAAATTTACACAAGAGCTTAAACAAGCAACCCTTGAACACGGAAGTGAATCGATGGTGATCTGCCTTGGAATCTCAATTCCAGTAGGCCACGGAGGCTATTTGATGTTGCCCTTGATAAAGGAGGAACCATACATTATTATGTCTGTTTTATCTGTCATTAATCTTAGGTAATTGTTCTTTTCCTCAGGGTGACCTTATAATTATGAAACGGTGCAAAAAGCAAAAATAATTTTAAAAAGTTCACAAGAAAGGCTGTTCCCGCCAAAGTCGCGACAGGGGCTGTACATAGGAGAAATAAGCCAGTGAAAAAATCCTTGGCCTGCTGCTTTCTCCGCAAATGCAAAACTTTCGGGTGACCTTATGATTATGAAACGCACTGTATTGATAACTACCTGCTCATAAGGTGATGTTTAGTGCTGTGTTCCTCTTATTGATCGTTATATAGCCCCATATTTGCGAAGTTTGCAGTTCAGTCAATGTTGTTATAATTAAGCAAAAATGCGGTCTCCTGGGACCGTATGGCCCGCCGGCGGGCCACATGCGTGTCTGGCGTGCGGTCCCACACGCTAGACACGTTTAGAGCGCGCGGTCATCGAAGGGTTAAGAAGATTGCAAGCATAGAAGTAATATCAATCAGAGCGCCAACAATGTTTTACAAAGAATCTAGAAGATTTTAACAGAAGGCAGGGCTACACAATGTTTCAGTCCGTGCCGATCTCAAGCATTGCGCAATCATGCCGATGGGTTGTACTTATTTCACCGAGCACCGAAGAATAGTGTAAGTTTTTATAATGTAAATCTTCTACCAATAAGGTCGTTCGGTGGAAACTTTATCAGTGGCCTGATGTTTCCGACGTTTCGTCTTCCTCAAAGGCCTGAACATGGCTCAAGGTTTGAGATATGTCCTTTAAACCGCCAAACGCCTCCTCTCCCTAGCGTTTCTGACGGAACGTTAGGGGGAACAAGCGAAAATCCCCGAACGAGGGAAATACTCACCCAGTCCACCACCGCAAGAATAGAACAGCGCAATCCAGTATGGTAGTATCTAATCTAGTTATGGTCAGTAACTGAGAGTTACTGTGTAGTCTTTGTACAAAGGTAATACTTTACACGTACACGTCTGTGTTTAAATCAGTAGCTTGCAATGTGGTGAGAACGGCAATAAATCATTTTGTGGAGGATAGAATAAGAGGAAGACGATGTCATCGAAACCTTAGGCCACTAATGAGGTTTCCACTCAGCAACCCTCATTGGCAGAAGAATTACATTACATTTACAACAATGCGGCGGTTTTACGAGGACAGAAGTTGGAGTCTGCTCAACAACGTAAAGCCGCGATACTTCTCTCCAGTGCGCGAGGCTTTGTCGCTTCGCCAGAAGGTGGTCGTCACCCGTCAATCATTGCGATTTCTTCCAACGATGCAGGAGCGATCGACATCACGCCACGTTTTATCAAGAATAGAAAGACCGATGCAATATGAGGATATAATGATAATCACTTATCTTTAGTGAAAATTATTCGTTCTCTCTTAACTGTGGTGATTGACAAGAGACAATATTCATTGTATGCAACGCTGGTGAAATGAAATGCCAAAGAACAGGCATGCCGGCGTCTTCTACCTGACATGGAGAAGTAGTGAGGGTGGGTCAGGGTTTGTTCCTCTATTAGTTTGATGCCAAATCTTCCCTTTGTGCGAAAATTGACAGAATTCTGGGGAACACCATGGGAATTCACGTAACGTTAGGGGCAGCTCTTCCATAAACCATCGTCCTGACGCTACGAACGCTCGCAATAGCAGTGAAACCACAGGAGATACTGTTGTTGGTGACGCTCACGTATCCTCAAATGGGCTCACTTTCTCAGTCTTGGTCCATCGTTTTCACCTGCACATAACACCGATGCGTAAACATTCCATAAAGTTGTGGGAGGCTTACAAAGGCTCGAGGCCTACAGCGATATGAACACCGTCCACGAACCGCCGCATCAAGCCAGAGACCACTCTTACATATACTATTTCCGCGTATTCTCTACAGTGAAGCTGATCCCACAAAAGTTGTGGATGTCAAGTTGACAAGTTTGTCAGCAGGTGTTCCAACGTTCTATCCCAGAACAGACGAATCCGCTGCGACAACTTGACACACGTGTATGACGTAGCGGCAAGGTTTTAAAAAACTACGTGAGTTCAGATCAAACAGTGCTATACGTGTCTCTGTGAGTGATCAGGGAGATGAATTTCTGGTTATCACAACCTCTCGATCGTGAAATCACTGTGCTCCACCGGATACACCGGCTTGTCTACGCGCGAATGAACATGAATTCTTATCCCAGTGCAGACGTCTGAATAATGTTTGGATAGTTCAGGGTCGGTTTGCGGGTCTTAAAGCTAAGTTTCTTAGCAGGCTCAGGCTTGACAATCCTGTCTGTCCCGTCTTTTATAGCCTCTTGATCCACAAACTAACTCCCAGGGATATACTGTCGATGTCACCAAATACTTTGAAATACGACCGATTATGTCACCAAATACTTTGAAATACGACCGATTATAAGTTGCGTAGATGGTCCAACTGATCGAATTGCATGGTTACTTAATGGCATTGCGAGCCAGCTGTTGACCAAAGTACCCTCTCACCTGACCAATGTGACTAAGTTCCTTGAGCAAGTTACGCAATTTACGCTTGGAAACAAGCTGCGTTATAGAGTCATTTGATGTGGTTTCGCTTTATACCAATGTCCAAAACGATCAAGCACTGCATGCACTGCTTGAAATGATGGACATGCATGTAGAAACCACGTAAGAAGCAGAGAAGTTCGGACTCAATAAGCAGCACATCATAGCTTTGATCGAGGATTGCTTAAAGCGCAGTACCCTTATATGGACGAGTGCGTATTACTTTCAAAAAAGAGGGTCGGCTAAGGGTCAACGTTTGGCTCCAGTGCTTGCAATCTAATTGAAGAAACACTACTTGAGCGCTTTTCAATGATGCACTGTAGACTGTTTCATTGTAACATCAACACAGTTCGAAATGGATGAGTGTTTTCGACTAATGAATCAACAGTCGCAGTACATCAGGCTCACAAGAGAAGTTCCACACAACGGTTGGCTCCCCTACCTCAACACGCAGGTGAAAGTGTCTGGTGGCACGCTTGTGAAGTGGTACAGGTGAGCAAGCTCCAAGAACATCTTGATTCATGCCACATCTGCACATCCTCGCCTTGAAAACGCAGTAGTTAGGAACATGTTCAGAACTGCTGCAAACGTGTGCACAGGTGCTACAGAACGGCAAGAATCTATACGATTGGCTTCTGCTATAGCCTGTTCCGAACGGCTACACTGTATCACGACATCGCAGAAGGGCTCACACTGGGCAAGCGAGCGTGCCACGCCAAAACAAGGTCCCTTTATGTATACCATTCATATCTGATAGAGTAACTGCGGCGATTAAACGGTGTCTTGCATGTGGTTAAGGGCTAGTGTAAACCGATTTTCGTCGGCAGAGGAAAACTTAAACATTAACAGCCACAGTGTTTCTCGTTAAAACAACGCAAACAAACAAATTTTTTACAAACAGAACACTTGGTATCAATTTTAGTCACTTTTTTCCTAGCCTCTTCTCTTCCTAAGTTGAAAGTTAAGCGATGGTAGCAGCCATAACAAATTTTTCGCACGCGTCTCCCAAGGATTTGTCGAACATTTCCATTTCCGTCCTCTTTTTACTGCAGGTTGTTTCTTGTTTTTTTCCAATAATTTCTCCGCAACGTCTTCTTTGGACTGCAAAAAAGGGACTTTCTGGATCTTTCTACAGTACAATACGTATGCAACGACCACAGAAGTTTGCAAAACAAGATGGAAAAAGATTCGCATGTACCATTTGCAAGACCTCCTATTGAATGGGTAGCTCAAAGCGATCTGATCAAACGAATCGACAAATAACATACACATTTTGCAGTCCTTTATCATTTTAAGGACATCTTTTTCGTCCTTTTCTTCTCCATGACACGTTGATGTACAAAACACCGGTCGCTTGTCGCACCACTGCATGATGGTGATCCCATCGTGTGACTGCATGGCTTCGGTCCCACCTCTGCGCACTTTCTTCTTCGCGAGTGCAGGAGGAAAACCTTTCCTTTTTTGCGGAAAGTACCCACAAAGTCCGTTTTTCTGTCCAACAACTTTCGAATAAGACCAACTGATGAGTACCAATTGTCACAGAATAGTCTTCGGCCAGAATCCAACAATCCGTCCATCAAACGCATGACTACCTTTTCCGCTACACTTCCTTCGCTTCACTTTTCCAGAATAAACCTCGACTCTGTAGCTGTATCCGCCTTTCGATGCACACTTTAAACAATTTGATTCCAAATTTGTGTTTTTTGTTAGGAATGTACTGCTTGAACTTCAAACGTCCTCGAAACGGAACAATTGACTCATCAATAGCCACATCTTTTTCAGGAATAACAACTGATGTCGACACATCGTTAAAATTGTCCAGCACTGCTCTAATCGTTTGAAGAGTCGGTCAGTCCCATCCTGTTGTTCGTTGTTGCAGAAATGGAGATTGGACATGATAGCCTCGAACCTGTCTCTTGTCATTGTCGACGAACAAATGTTACCGCCGTACAATCTTCTTGTTGACCAGTAGTGGCGTAATGTTGGCATCTTCACCAGTCCCATATAAAAGCACAGACCCATGAATTGCATCACTTCCTTTGCATCGGTTTCCTTGAATTTTGCTGACTTGCTTAGTCCGTTGCTTTCCAATGCACAATAAAAGCAAGCAACTCGTCGTTCAAGAATAGGCGAAAGAAGTCGAATGGTTTGTTACAGACGTCGATCCCTACAATAGCGGACTCCTTTTCAAAGATGAATGTAGAAAGCTTTTTCACATCAGAAGACCAGCTGTCCTCATCAAAAACACGTTCTTCCGGTGTGTCATCGTCCGATTCTTCTCCGTCGTCATTGACAGTGAGAATGCCATCGTAATCCACTGCAGATTCTTCTACTTCCTCGTCACTGTCGAGTAAGAAAGCGTTGAAACTGCGATTGATTCGTCGTCGTTCATCCTTTGCGCGTTTTCTGGGACGGTGGCAGCCCGTATGGACTGCCGCGGCCGATGCGCCAAAAAAGGCGCCTCGTCCGTGGGAGCGCGCTTGCGAAAAATCGCGCTCGTCGCGAATGTGTTGATGACCTTTGGGGGAATTGCTGCAACCTCAACAGGGCTGAAGTGTAGAACCAGTCACGAATGCACTATCTATTGACGAACTCCTCAATTTTTCTTTGAATGTGACGAGTTTCAAGCCCGTAATCCGTAATTTTTTGCCAAAACTTCCTCTACCCTTTTCTGTAGTGTCTCAATGACGCTCTGAATATGTAAATTAAGTTGTCTCTCCATTTAAGGCGCGACAGCTGTCGAAAAGCGCTCTTGTAGAGTTGAAGTGCAACTGCTTTGGATCTATTGCTACAAGACGAAATCTGTTCGGTGCAATCGCCATACGCCTGAATACGAACGCCCTCTAGAATCTAGCTCAATGTCAGTCGTCACCTTTTCTCGACTTTTATACTGTAGTCCAACCTCTTTCACGGACTATCATAACCGATCCTCTGCATCGTTTCACGGAGCAGCTGACAAAAACCTTTTCCGGCAAAACTTTGCACATGCGTTTGCTGTGGCCTTCAAATGTCCTGAAGTTACTTTCGTCGCTCCTGATGACGTTGAAGCCCGCTGAGGATCTTCAGTTGGTGTGCGCAGACCCATTCCATTCCTAATCACTTCACCGTCAAACATCTTTACAGGATTCGAGAAGCAGTGACGGCGAACGTATAGTGGTAGATTCTAGAAGGTGTTGCGTACAATCGTATGACACCTGCACTAAATTGACGTCGTCTTCTAGCAATACAGCAGTTCAAAGCATCACACAATTCTATGAAGCGGTGTGACAGCTAGCGCGCATTATACGGAGGGACAACTTCAGTTACATAACCCAATCGTTATGGACACTACGGAAAAGGTTTTGGCAAAAAAAATCAGGATTATGGACGAGAAACTCGTCACATTCTAAGGCAAGATCCAGGAATAAATGGATGAGGGAATTGTATTGGGTTGCCCAGAAAACACTGCGACACTTCGAACAAATAACTTTAGGGAAAGATTAAACCCTTTTCAGTTGTTTTTAATACTTGTTTACTGTAGTGTGTCTTCGGAGGTTCAGTAGAAGCGTACATGAAGGCTTCAAGCAACGTTTTGCAGCTCTCTCTGAACTAATCTATCTTTGACTTACTTTATTCTCGAGCTCCTATGAAATCACTCTGCTTGAATACATTGCAGCTAGCTACATTTTTTATTTGCTCACTGACACGAGGAGGCTGCTTGAAACTGGTGGATCCGCAACAGGTCCTGAAGACGACGATTTGTCGAAACGTTGACCAATAAACGTGTTCCACCATAACAACCTGTTTGGCACAGAAGAAAACAGCACAATTGCAGCTAGTATCTGTGCTGTATTCAGGAAATGACCCCATCAGCAGGCCATAGGGCCCCCTGTTCCTAAGGCTTTGCTCGCTTCGAGTCAAATATCCAGAGTATTTGGCTCAAAGTGAAGCAGTGCTGGTCGGCTGTAGGTGATGGACGGTGAGCATTTGCTCAACTTTTCAGAGACGCGTGGCCGAAGCGAAAGCGAACGCGAGGCGAGACGAGACGGAGCAACCGCTCAGGCGATTGCATCATGCCGACTGACGTGGCAGTTGCGCGGGCGATTTGAATGGCAACAGACAGCCAGGGGTCTGTGCCTATCACAGTCGACGCTCAGTCTGACTGCGCTGCATCCTCCCTCGCACGGCCCTGGAGCATGTTTGCTCGAGGTCGTGCGCAAGTCACGACACTAGGAGTCGACAATGATCATCACCGTGGTGCAAGTATCCAGCAACTTTCTGTGAACGATCGAATTGCGACCCCATTGAAAACATTGAAAGCCTTCTATGCCAAGGTTTCTGCACGCAGCTTTACTCTCCGTCGGAACCAGTAGTGCTCATGTGTACAGTTTCCTTCAAGGCTTGAGCTATCTTCCTAATCTTCATTTTTGTCAAGAGATTCCTTTGATGCGAAGAAGAAGAGAAATCTCTACCATGGTCACACACTTCGCCTCCCCAGACTGGCGCAACCCATGTGGTACCCATTGCGAACATGCTGCCCTGTAACCAAGAACGTAGGGATCCTCGATAACTGTCAGTTAGTGCACCTCAGCGTTGTTGCTAACTCACGACTGGTAGCAATCGC